TAATCATTTTTACAGAAAATATCGCATTCATTAGTAAGGAGCATGCCATGGCGTGATGGATTTTTCACATTGTTGCTGTTAGTAGAGTATTCATAGGTCGAGTGACTCCTGTCGTTGCTCTACTTTAACTGTCCTTAATTCGATAATCAAGATAGTATATTTACCATACAACACTCGTAATTTTACTTTTACCACGATAACACATTAACGTATTTGTCTCGTCTACACCCGATGAACCGTGTGAGGAAGTTTCATTCCTGGCTTTGGCATTGATGCAAATCTTATGAACGCTTGACTTGCGCATATCTTAATTAAGTAAGGTTTGAAAACGAGCATGAAATCACAGGCCAGGCCCTAGAACATAAAGCGTCAATGACAATCTTTGCTCTGATATAGATCTGGATTTATAGGGATGGAAAACTCGGATTTATAGAAATCCGAATTGTACCTTTTCCTCTTCCTCGGGGAAAGACATGACCGGAAGTTGCAGCTCATTTGCTAGAATCCTAAATTCTTAGAAAGGGTCATGTTTATTCAAATTCCCTTCGTGAGCTGCAAATGTTGATTCATTAGCCACTATCTAACGGATGAAAAGCACTTTTGGTAGCGTTTAAATGAAAAGCAAAGTAAGCAGAGTTTGAAACATGTTTTGCTTTCGATAAAATTTGGCACCACCATAGCGGAATTCGAGAAGTAACCCTCAAGTCGCAAAAGATCGGCTGTTGCCTGATAAAATAACGCAAATTTGCTGCGATCTTTCCTGTTTCAAGTGAATCACGATATAAATTGTTGCATTAATCTACGGTTTAGGAATAAATTTCTGAATGATCAGAAACTTGGTGGTTTCGGTAACCTCAAGTCAACAAGGAAGTTAAAATTCTCAGTCACGCGAAACCCTGCCGCTAACTGTTGAGGTAATACTGCTCAGCAACTAATGAAAGATGCAATATCTGAGAGATGATAACTGTATCCAAATTTTCACGTGATCATCACGGTCGCTTAGAAAAGTTCATCAATCATAGCCAGGTTATTTGTTAAAACCTCCTTCATGCGATCAGTTTTCGTTGCAATTCGCCGACCATCGTCACCGCTCGCTGAGACAGACAACAATTTCTTGGGGCGAGTTGCGGAACGCCGCCATTTCGTAACCTCTTTCCAGC